TAGCACGGCTTAGCAAGGTTTACTACGCCCAGCAGGGTTCAGCAACGCATGCCCGGGCATCGCAAAAGCTAACAAGGCTCAGCAGGGCGTACCAGATCTAAGCAGGGCGTTGGAGAGCTTGCCAGGGCTTACCAGGGTCTGCCATGGTTCGTTGGGCTGAGCAACAATTACCAGGGCTCAGCAAGGCTCAGCAGGGCTTAGCAAAGCTTGCCGAGCTTATTGCTCGTAGCAGGGCTTACCGATCTGGCCTGAGCTCCGCAAGGCTTACCAAGCCTAGCAGGCTTAGCAGGGCTCACAAGGGCTTAGCAAAGCTCGCCAGAGCGTAGCAGCGTTCAGCAGGGCGCGCCAGGATTTGGCACGGTTTAGCAAAGCCTGCCAGGGCTTAGCGGTGCTTAGCAGGCTCAGTCGGGCTCATCAAGGTCATTGGCCATGTTTTAGCACGGCTTACCAAGGCTTTCAACAAGGCCTGCCGAGGCTTAGCCGGCCTGAGCACAGCTCAGCAAAGCAAAGCAGGGCTCGAGGACCCGCAGGGACTAGCCGAAGCTTGCCGAGGCCGAGCAAGGCTCAGCAAGGAAGGCTCAGCAAGGCTTACCAAGCTCAGCTGGGCTGAGCAAAGCTTGCCAGGCGCGCCAGAGCATAGCAGGGCTTACCATGCTTAGCAGGTTATTCGCAGGGTTAGCCGGGAGTCATCAAAGCTCACCAGGGCGCAGCGGGGCTCAGCAGGGCGTGCCAGTTTTTAGCTCGGCTTAGCAGAGATTGCCAAAGCTTAGCAGTGCTGAGCGGGTCTCAGCAAAGCCCAGCAGGACTTAGGGACTCGCGTGGGGAAGCAGGGGGTAGCAAAGCCTGCCAAGGCCGACCGAGGCTCAGCAAGGCTTAGCATGGCTTAGCAAGGCTTACGAAGCTTAGCTGGGCGTAGCAAGGCTAACTTTGCAGCGCTTAGCAAATATCACCGGATCAGAGCAAAACTCACCAGAGCTCAGTAGGGCGTGCCAGGACTTAGCAGGGCTTCGAAGAGCTTGTCAGGGCATGGCAGACCCTAACAAGATCAGTACGGTTTCTAAGGGCTTACAGGGGCTTAGCAGGGCCTACCAGGGCCAGGGCAAGGTTAAACGGTTTTAGCAGTGCGCAGCAGCGCTGAGCAAAACTTTGCCATGGACGAGCAGGGCCGTCGACCCCTTCATTCAACATTGAGCCGCGCGGGGAGTCGGATCGGGGAACGACGTTGCCCGGCGCCGACGGGCGGCGACGATCCCAGACATCGGGCGTCTCGAAAAAATCGAGACGGATGTTTCTTCCCAGTTCTCGGCCTCTCGGGGCCCTCGCCGGGCCTCGGGGCCGTTCAAAAACGGCTCGGGGTGAAAAACCGGTCCCGGGGAAGTGGTCGGGAGGTCGGGGGCCCGTGTCTCGAAAAAATCGCGACGTCGGATGTCTGGGATCGCCGCCGTGCTCGGCCGCTTCTTGCGCGCCAGTCTGGACGGGCCCCTTTCCCCGCCGTGGGCCAGGGCCCGCGCGGCGAGCCCCCCGAGCTGCGTCGCGCCCGCGAGCGCGCGGCCTCGGCGGAGGCGCCCGCGGGCCTGCCGCCCCCCCCCCCCCCCCGGGCGCAGCGCCGCGAGACGTCGCGAGCTCCTGCGAGCCCGCCGTGGCCGGCTGGTCTGCGCGCCCCCCTCGGATGGCCCAGCGTCGAAGCGGGCGACGCGCTGCCGCCTGGGGCGGAGGCCCCCGCGCGCCGCGCCGCCCTCGGCGCCGGCGTCGCCTCTTGCAGGGGCGCGCGAGGTCGTCGCCGCCAACGAGTTCGACGAGCGCGAGGCTCGGCCCCCCCCCCCTCTCGTTTTTCGCTTCCAGGCGTGGGCGAGCCGAGTGCGTCTCGCGCAATCGTGCCGCGGCGGCGCAGCATGCCGCCGTCGCGAACGGGCTGGACCTGCAGCGCGCGCCCGGCCTCTGCACTGCGTCTGCAGCCGCCGCACTTGCCGCCGCCAGCGCCGCCGCTGCGGCGGCCGCCGCGGGGGCGAGCCCGGGGCTTAGTTTTGCCCGTTCTCGCGCTCCTCGCATTCCTTCTGTGCGTGGCTCTCGCCTTGCCTCTTCTCACCGTGGTCGGCGCTCGGATGCCGTCGACGCCTTTGAGCTCTGCCTCGCGCGGCATTCGCGCATCGCCCCGGCTGCGTTTTACCGCAGCGGGCTTCTGCTCTCGCGGTTTCTCGCCATATTCGGCACGTGGCTTCGCGATGCGGGCTGTCCGCGTCGCATCCTTGTGCGTGCCATTCTGGGCATCCAAGCTGAGCGCCCACACTGGCGCGCTTAGCCAGTCGGCGCTTGCCGAGCCCTCCACGATCTGCCTGCCGCTGGCCCGCGCCCTTCTGCGGGCGATGGTTGGCCTCTGCTTCCTCTGGGACTGGCCTCTCACGGCAGCCCTCTTGCTGATGGGTTTCACCATGTGTCTCCGCCCGCGAACTGCTAATCGCCCGCCGTTGTAACCTGTCGCTGCCTGGCGATAGGTTGGGGGCCAGCGGCGACGCCTCTCTTGCCATAGAAGCGCCGAAGACCCGCCGCGCCTATCCGACGCGGCGCGCCCGCTGCTCCGACGGGTCGTCGTTGAGGCTCCTGGAACTGGCGTTCCAGCGAATGTGTTCCGCCGATCCTCTGTCGCCCTCCGGGAAGAGCGGCTTGCGTACTCGGTGGAACTATTTGTTTTCGGCTACGGGCGCCCCGTTGTCCAGCGCGGCCAGGTGGCTGAACCTCACTCGCGCGTGTTCGCGAGGTTCTAGGGCGACAGAATTCCCCCCGGCCACGGAAGACGCCCCTCGCGACTTCTGGCGCGGCCGTTGGCGCCAGGCGTCTAGCGTTGAGCGCTATCTCCAGGCCGCCGCCGCTTTGTCTGTTTTGCCATCCCTTCCTGGTTTTGCTCGCGCGCGCATTGCGTACCGCGCTGCTGCTAGCGACCGCCTTGTCGCCTCTTTTCTGGCCGTGGACCCACCTGCGTGGTCCGCGCAAGTTTCGGCCGCCCGCCACAGCCTCGTCAGTGCGCAAGGGCTTTGAGCATGGGCATGGCTGATCGCGCCCATCGGCGCGCAGGAGGTGTCCTTCTCCTGAGCGGCGCCGCTCGGCTTGCGGGCGAGCTTGGGGGCCCGGCGACCTTGGCGCCCCCCGCGCGCGCGTCGGCCTCCGCGCGAAGACCCATCGTTTGCGCGGCGCGGGAGAATACTGTCTCTGATTCTCCCGTCCTCGCGCGCGACTCGGTCGTCTACAGAATTTCGGCCCCCCGCCCTCTCTCCACCCTCTTCTTCATTCGAGGTCTGCGGCGCTGATCGTGCCCTTCGGCGCGCAGGAGATCTCCTTCTCCTGAGCGGGGCCGCTCGGCTTGCGGGCGAGCTTGGGGGCCCGGCGACCTTGGCGCCCCCCGCGCGCGCGTCGGCCTCCGCGCGAAGACCCATCGTTTGCGCGGCGCGGGAGAATGCTGTCTCTGATTCTCCCGTCCTCGCGCGCGACTCGGTCGTCTGCAGAATTTCGGCCCCCCGCCCTCTCTCCACCCTCTTCTTCATTCGAGGTCTGCGGCGCTGATCGTGCCCTTCGGCGCGCAGGAGATCTCCTTCTCCTGAGCGGCGCCGCTTGGCCCGCGCGCTTGAGGGCCTGGCCACCTCGGCCCCCCCCGCGCTCGCGTCGGCCGCGGCCTCCGCGCGCAGACCCGTCGTTTGCGCAGCGCGGGAGCATCATCATCATCATCATCATCATCATCATCATCATCATCACCACCATCATCATCATGGTCATCATCAGCAACGTCATCATCACTATCATCACCATCGTCATCATCATACTCATATGCATCATCATCATCATCATCATCATCATCATCACCATTTTCACCGTCATCACCATCATCATCACCAGCGTCATTAGCATACCCAACGTCATTTGCATAAACAGCATCATCACCGTCACCGTCACCATCGCCATCGCCATCGTCGTCGCCATCTTCGCCACCATCATCATCACAGTCGCCATCATCATGATCACCCGCAGCTGTTCGGAGCCATGCCCGCTTTGTCTTTTTTCCAGACTCGTTCGCGGACGTCCGTGGCCCGATGGCAAGCGAATGGCGTTCGGTTCCGATCCGCAATACGTTCTTGCACATTCCCTCTCCCCACTTCGAGCCCATCGTCTGTGCGCGTCGGCGCTCTCGCTCCGAGCCGCTGCCGCTGCGGCAGGCGCGGGACCAGCCGCAGCCGCCGCAGCAGCAGCAGCGGCAGCGGCAGCAACAGCAGCAGCGGCAGCGGCAACGGCAGCGGCAGCGGCAGCGGCAGCACGAGGAGCAGGCCGCGGGCGGCCCGCGGCGGGAGCCCGGCTCCGCGCGAGGCGCCAGGCCCGCCACTGGTCGCGGCAGCAGCAGCGGCAGCCTGGACGAAATCGCGGACGCGGCGCCGCACGAGGCCGCAGAGTCCGCACGCAGGCGCCGCACGACGCAGAGGCGCAGGGAGCTGCGGAGGGCCGCCCACAGGCGCGAGAAACGGACGGCCGGCGGGGCCGGCGCTGCCGCCGAGGCGGTCGCGGGCGTCCCCGGCAGCAGCGGCGGCGCCGGCGCCGACGGCGGGGCTTCGTCCCGCGCAGGGGCGCCTGGGCACGGCGGCGGCCAGGCCAGCTGGCCCAGCGACCCGGCAGGGCGGGGGGCGGCCAGCACGGCGGGGGGGCGAGCCGGCCGGTGAGGTCGCCCTGCAGGAGCCGGCCTGGGCCCGGTGGGCCCCCCGTCGCCGCGGCCGGCTGCCGCGCGCCGCGCGGGGGGCCTCGCTGCCCCGGGGCTCGTCTCGCCCGGCGCCCGCGGGGTCGGCGATGGCGGCAGGTCGGGCCGCGGGGCCCGCCTGGAGGAGGAGGAGGAGGAGGAGGAGGAGGAGGAGGAGGAGGAGGCGGAGGAGGAGGAGGAGGAGGAGGAGGAGGAGGAGGAGGAGGAGGAAAAGGAGAGGAGGAGGAGGAGGAGGAGGAGGAGGAGGAGGAGGAGGAGGAGGAGGAGGCCTGCGAGGCTGCGTGCCGTGGGCTTCCTCGGCGCTCAGGCGCCCAGGCGCTTTTCAGAGCCCCCGCGCGCAAGCCTTCGGGCTCGCCGTCGAGGCCCGCGACGGACGAGCCCCAGCCGTGATCAGGATCGACATCGGCGGCCAGAAGGGTCCCTACTGCCAGTGGTCGCGCTGCCTCGTGGCGCAGCCGTGCCCGCTAAGCCGCTAAGCCGCTCTTCGAAGGTGTCCAGGGCCGTCTCATCCAGCCCCTCCGCGAGAAGTGCCATGCGGCACGAATTGACACATTAGGCAGGTTTCAAGTCGGGGATTGCCCTGGCGAGCCGCTCGACCTCGTGAAGTCTTTTCTGTATATGTCTTCGCCCACGTCGGCGCCGCTCGTCTATTCCTTTTTTCCTCTGCATGTAGTGCTTCTGGCAGGGTAGCCAGCTCATTAATTCCATAAGTTTCACTCTTTCACATTATCCAGCTGCCTGCGGCAAACCCCGCCACCGTGCCAGCGCAGCAGGGCAGCCAGAAGGGCATTTGGTTCAAG